AAAGCGAAGGCATACATTCAGAAAAGTCGAAGGCATACATTCAAAGAGAAACAATGAAAGGGAACAAATTAGATACAAGAAGCCCGAAGGCAAGCATTCATTCATTAAGGGAAGAGTTAAAGTATATATTACAATATGGCCGAGGCCGAGAGTACACAGATATCCATTACATACAAAAAAAGACGTTCAAGACACTACTAAATACAGATCAGATATTTTCAGCTCCGGGGGCAGCCTCTTCCGCGGGCTTTGAGATGACCTCCATGCCAACCTCTACTTCATCCCCCTCGGCCTCTTTCAGGAGCTCAGAATCATCCAATTCTGGCCTTTCAACGCCCTCGGGAAGGGGGACTCTGATATCAGGCTGGAGGGGTGGGAGGCCATATGCCGCCGGATCGAAGGTCGCCGGCTCGATCTTCAAGTGCCGCGCAAGCCTTCTGTAGATCAAGGCCTGAGTGAAGAATTCCCCCCAGCATAGTAATCTTCACCCTTTCGGGCTAGCCACATCGCCTCGGGGCCCTTCACCCACCCGTCGGCGGAGCCCTCCACTACCGAGGCCACCCAATCCTTATGGCCTTCGGCCTTCCAACCCTCGGTCATGAAGGCAGCAACTGCACCAGCGACGACCTCTGCTTTTGCGGCCTCTGCGTCTTCGGAGGCCTTTTTTGCAGCCTCGGCAGCAGCCTTCTCCACCTCCGTCTTCTCCTTGGCCGCCTTCTCAGCTTCCGCCCTCGCCTGCTGGAGGTCCCTCTCCAACTGAGTCATCTGCCTCATGGCCTCGGCATTGTCATGAATAAGCTTCTTGAAGGACTCCTCCTGTTGCGCCTTCTGGAGGCGCCACTCATCGAACCTCCTGGCGTGTTCTCCGAGGGCTATGCAGGCCTGTTAAAACAAACAACAAAGTAAGGGGTTAAGCTATGATCACGCAACAGATAGAATCATAAGCCACTATGCAAAAAAAAAAAGAAAGAAGAAGAAAAGAAGGAGAAGAACTTACAGTAAGGGAGGACCATAGGATTTTGGATTCGAGGGCTTCATCGTCGAGCTTCCCGAGGGCCCTCCTATCCAGAGCGGGGGTAGCCCTGCCCAAAAATTCCCGGGGGTCTACTGTGCCATGTGTGATGGCTGCCCCCTTCGGCAGGGAGAACTGTATGTCCTCCCGGGGCAAGCTTGCCTCACCCCCTTTACCCGAGGGCGGGCGAGGAGCAGTTGTTGTCATTTGAGCACTAGGCTCGGAGGCGGAGTGCTCGTCCACCACCACCACCAGGGGAGCCTTCTTCCCGGCATCCCCCTTCTTCTGCCTCTTCCCCTCGGGGATTGGCGCCTTGCCGGCGGCTTTCCGCTTGGCGGCCTCCCCCGAGGGCTCACTGCCCTTCTTCAACTCCTCGAGGGGCTTCTGCTTGGGGGGCTCCTTCTGGCCCGGGGCCTTGACCTTTTGTTTTTAAGGTTGGTGAAGGCATTGAGATCCATGTTGATACCTGGAAAAAAATAATAACGGTTAAAGCCGAAGGAGAAAAGATACAACAAAAAGCATATCTACACCTAAATATACATAAGTCTAAAGGACCGAATGCTCTCAGCCAATACCTCCGGAGGCTCTCTCAAATGCCGGGAACCTTTCATCCGTTTCCCCCAGGAAGCGATACCGCCGGAACCCGAGGGTGTAGAGGTCCTCCTCTTGGGTGCACTCCTTGATAGTTATGTTCTTGTCTCGGCCCTCCGGGATCTTTGCCAGGATCCTGCCATCTTTCTCGAGGGCGGCGCTCCTCCTCTTCTCATGCCTTCTGAACCGGTCACGCAATTCCCTCGGGAAGGGGCTCTCGGCTAACTGCACGTAGCACCACCGGTCTTTCCACCCTTTGTTCGAGGAGGGTGCCTCAGTAAAAAGCTTGAACAGGGCCACCTGCTGCAAGTTTGTGAAGCCCTCGGCATTCGCATGTCCCCCCCGGCACAGATTGAAGCTTTGAAAGAAGAGGTCCAGGCTAGGCGTTACCCCCCGGGATTTGCAGAGATGGAGGAAGCCCGCGATATAGGAGTGGCTGTTCGGGATCAGTTGGCAGGGGACCAAACCCACGAACCGGAGGTACTCCCGAAGGAAGGGGTGTAGGGGGAACCGGAGCCCCATCGATACGGAGAGGATGTGCACCGCAATGCAGCCCTCGGGAGCCCGGGAGAGGACGTCATCGGGACCCGGTGCCACCACGATGGCCGAAGGGCCCACATGTAACTGAGTAACATAGAGATCCGCCGCATCAGCTTTCGACCTTATCTCTAAGGCGGCGGTATTCAAATAGGAATACCCCTCGGGCATATCGAGGGGCTTCCCTTGGTCTGCGACGCTACCCTTCTTCTTGGAAGCAACAACCTTCGCCTTCTTTTTTCCGGGGGCCACCCGGATGGGAACCGCGTTCAGCGGCCGAGAGGTGCTGGCCTCACCAGTGCCCTGAGGGGGGAGAACAGCAACAGTGACCCTCGCACCCTCTTTCTGTGCCTCTTCCTCAGCTACTTGCCAGGCGAGGGCCAGCTCTTCGTCTTCACACTCTTGTTCGAAGCCCTCGGCTTCCGCCTCAGCAACGAGGGCTTTCTGCAACTCCATTGCGACGACAGCGTCTTGTCCTGCTGAGGGCTGTTCGCTTGTGGACTCCACGTCCGAAATGATCTCCTCCTCCATCGAGGGCGCCCCCGAGATGTCTTGAGAGTCGCTTTGTGAAGAAGACATCGTCTGTGCTAGTTCGAGGGCTCAAGATTGCTAAGTACTCTAAGCTAAAATTTCTAAGTGCAGATCATAAGGCCGCTAAGCACAGCTAGGTAACAAGGATGGAGGACAAGAGAGGAACTGACCTTGTAACGGGAGTTAGATCGAGGGCGGCTGTTTCTCTCTCTCTAGAAATTTTAGCAGAGCTTCGCTACAATGATATCGCACAAGGGGAAGTGAAGCCGGCCATGGGGTATTTATAGGCGCTGGGATCCGGGCTTGGGCCTGGAAACCGGGCCTCCGGTTGGACTGCCATCATTACAAACCGTGGATTCGCCCAATCGGTGACGCCCACCCACGGGCAGTTAACGAGCACACACCACGTGGCAACCCCCCCCCCCCCCCCCAACGGCTATATTCTGACGTTAGATATTCCAACGGCTATATTTCCAACGGCTATATTCTGAGAGCTCTCGGCTACACTTGACAGATCACTCCTTCATCAACCAAGAAACACTGGCCCCCGGGCTTTTTACTTCACTCTACTTCATCAAGAAGAGCCCCCGGGTACACTTACCCGGAGACACTCCCGGTTTGTGCCCCACACACTACATAATAGATGCCTTCGGGATCACTCCTTCAGAAGCCCAAGGCTTCATATCAGGCCACCCCTCGGGGATCCCCCCTCAGCACTTTGAGGGTCGGGTAGCCCTCGGGGAGTATGCCTCATTGACGGATAGCCTACGGCACACAGGTAATGGGAGCCCTCGGATACCCTCCTCACCAACTAATCAACAAACGGGGGACGCCCGGTAACACTTCAACTGCTACTCACATTCATGACGCCCTCGATCCCCAGATTGAGGGACTCCCCTTCGGCACCTCCCAAGAAATCAACAGCACGCCTCCGGCTAATCAACACATGAGCCCTCAGAACAAGGAAAGCCTTCGGCATCAGCATTATTCTCCATTACGAACCAGGGCTTCACATTTTCGATTCATCGTTGGGGGAATTCGGTGCACTCTTTTTCCCTCATTAGGATTTTTTCCCACAGGGTTTTTCCTAATGAGTTTTTTAACCAGGCATCCCCCCAAAATGAAACGAAAAGCATCAGCCTTCGGCCCAAAACAGCAACGCAACTACTCTACTCCTTTTCACCACTTTGCAAGTGCCTCAAGGAGTGGGGGACTGGAGGACCCCCTCGGGAAAAATCACAAAAATCACAAACATGACCCCCCTCAAGTCCCGACATGTGGGTAACTGAGGGACTGCCCTCGGCAGGATAAAAAAACAGCAAACTACCCACAACTCTACAAACTACAACGGAACAACGGCAGAGGACAAACACAATTATTCCTTTTCCCTCAAGTACCTTTCGGCAAAAGGAGTGAGGGACTCCTGATGGAGTATATGGCCCGGGAATCCCCGGCCCACAGACTCCTACTACTCCAATAAAGGCCCAATAGGCCCAGGAAGCACAACAGGCCCAAATCACGGCGCCCAAGGCACCAAGCAGCCCACCACACGCACCAGGGGTGCCTTCGCCCCCCTGGCCGAAGGCTCTAATTCTCACAGGAGGGCCAAGACAGGAAAACAAAGTTACTGGGAAAAACGGCGAAAATCAGTAGCCCTCGGCAACTGGAGCCCTCGGCACTAAGGGGGTCCCCGATACTCAGAGCCCTCGGCTAGTCATCTACTACCGAGGGCGCCTTTTCTGACATAATATCCGCTCCACATGCGTATGGATCACCGTACCTTGTACAACGTCCCATCCAACAGCCGCATTAAATGCGGCCACATGCGGTTGCCAGCACCAACCAGTTGAGGTGACCTCTCGGCCAATGGACGCTTGACACGTGTTCCTGTCTGGCATTTATTGCTACTATAAATAGCACCCCATTTCCTCGTTGTAAACCACGCTGAAAACACTGAACACTTTCTAATATACTTTCTCTCTCTATACTTACTTGCTCTGACTTCTCTCTAGTTATTCTCCGTAATAACCCCTCGGATAAGCTACCCCCCGGGTACACTATCCATCAAAACTATCAAAGAGGCAAAATGGTTAAAAGGTATAGTGGGTGAGGTTTTGGGGACAAATATTGTTCCTATTGTCTTCTCTGATAGCCAAAGTGTCATATACCCTATGTATCATGAAAAAACTAAACACATAGATGTTAGATTTCATTACATTAGGGATGAGATTTCTAAAGGTAATATTAAAATTGATAAGATTACTCGAGATGTTAATCCTACTGATTTTGGTACTAAAATTGTTCCTACTGCTATGTTTTTGTTTTGCAGGCAGTTCTTCAAAATCTTTGAAGTACCTTGATCTTGAGGGTACTTGTTTGGGTTGATGATGAAAGGGTGTTATCTGGTTTCATGAATCCTAACACTAGCAATGATGATATCTGCTCTTATGAGCTGTGTTGCACCCGAATTAGTCTTAGGAGGGCAAATTTTGATATATTTGTAATCCTAATTCTAGTTATATTATACATGATGTTTTAATACTTAGATATGAAGGTAAAGCAAGGTTAGAAAGTAATTATATTTAATGGACTCTAATTGATTTATTCAATTGGACCATTAAAATAGGTCTGGCCCGTTTCAGTCTTATCCTCCTTGGTTTGGGCATGATGTTTTCCTTGGTCAATTCGGTTCTCCTTATTTGACCCAGCTCTTTCTCTCGCATATAAAGTGTCTCCTTCCTTGCTTCCTTCTAGAGACATCTTTTGCATCATTCTTCTAAACCCTAATACAGAGAGGCGATAGAGAGAGCTTGTGAAGTTTTAACATCTGGTTTTCTTCTTCGTGATCTGGGATACACTTGAGTCCAGAATAAGCTGAGAAAGGCAAGAAGTAAACCGTGTGGTAAAGCGTAGATCCAGAGCAGTTGATTCGAGTCCAAGAATCTGATAACTCCTGGGTTTTGATAGTTTCGTTCGGTTATTTCTGTTCATTTTCTTATTTTATTAGTATGCTTGTTTTTGGCTGATTCTTTTGTGTTAGATCTGTTATTTTCGTTCCTTGCTTTGCAACCATCTGTGTATTCAAACTATTCTGAGCTAGTGGATTCTTGGGACCGGATTTCCCCTGTTGAAACTCCGCAGAGTAGGATTTATCCGATCTGCGTCAACATATCGTGTCTTCATTTCTTTAATTTCTGTTTTGGTTAAACTTGATATTTGAATCCGGTATCTTGACTGTGACTATCAATATAGTCTGTGAACAGTATTTGTCCGGCTACTGTCTGACCGCCGTCCGTCGCCGTCTGTCGGGGCTGTTGGGGGTCGCCGGGGTCCAACGGGGGTGGGGTGATGGGGGGAGCTCCGGTTGGGCTTGGTTACTACTCCGGCTGGGATTCGTGACACGCCGTTGCCGCAGGGATGATGCCGGGACCGGTGGGGGTGGGGTCTGCGACAGGGATGACATGGTTGACTGTTTGACAGTTGTCGCTGTCAAATTCGAATTTCGGTTGCCGCGCTTGTGCTGCGGCGCTGGGGAGAAAGAGATGTTGAGCTGGCATTGTTAGGCTTACTGCTAAGTGCTAACCCTAGCCCGCTAGGAGTATGCTGGACAGCTGGAGGCTGGCATTGTGGGCTGGTATTGGTTTGGGTGCTGATGGGCTTCGCTGGACTACTGTGATGCGGGAATCTGGCTGCTGCTTGGGCCGGATCTGATGCTGGAAGGGAACAACTAGTATGCTGACTGCTGGCTGGCTTTTATTAGCTGGGCTTAGGTTAGTGGTTTGGGTTATTGTGACATTTCAGCTGGTTTGATGATTTTATTTGACACTGCTGGGCAGTTACTGGGCCGCTGGAGCAAATACACTTTGGAGGATGGGGCTTCATTGCTTCGGATTCCTTGGACTTTGTGGATAGCGGGCAGATTTTTATTTGATGTTTTTGATACGAGCCGGAGCATGTCCTGTGTCGTTTTGAATTCTTCTGAAAAACTCTCCCCCCGCCTACCTCCCACAAGGGAGTGGGCGAGGGGTATGAATGGTAGATACTATTTTTAGTTAGATTAGCTAGCTAGATAGTTTTGATACATTGTATTATGTTATTTTGGGTGTCTAATAAAATTACCTTTCATCCAAAAAAGAATACTCAATATCAACTTGTAGCCTATGTTATTAAAACCGGACCGGGAGTCGACCCGGACAAATTACCGGGTCAAGGGTCAACCCGGACCCGGGAGGGTCAGCCCGATCAATGCAACAACCTGGTCGATGGTGGTTAAAAATAAAAAATAAATTATGTATAATTATATACGAGATTAAGTTATATGGTAAAAATTACTCTCGTTCAAGATTTAATAAGCACAAGGATAATAATGATAAGAATAGAAAATAAAGTTCCAAAATACTGTATATAATATATTTCACGAAGTTGAGAATGTGTTTGAAATTAGATGAACGAATATAATGTACTAAAAGTAATATATATGTTTGAAATATATAAGTTTCACAAGTACAAAAGTAAAAGATGTTATATGAATATATTTGATAGATATTTGTATGTTGCACAAGATTAAGTCGATAGAAGTTAAATGGATGGTACACAAAATATACTGTAATTAAAAGTAATTATGACTATTATTAATACCACTGCAGTCTGCATAGTGACTAGTAAAGTGATAAAGTAATAAATACAACCGAAGAACAAATAGTTCACATAAGCACAAGCAGATTAGTCGGCAGTGGCGGATCTTGCGTTCAAAAGTTGGGTGTCCAAAATTAATTTGTCGTCAAAATGTTGAACAAATAATATTTTTTGATCCAACAAATGAATATATATTACTTTTTCAACAACAACAAAATGGAAAATAAGATTAAATGCAAGATATATTATCAAAAAATACACCATATAAATTATTACATCAATTCTATATGTATATTTTAACATTTTATTTTTAATTTTTTGGGTGTTCACATGAACACCTTTACACAAAAGGGATCCGCCACTGTTAGTCGGTCGTGCACATGCAGTGGTAGGACGGACACCGGAGCTCAATTTCCAGCAGCAGTGCATATTTTAATCTTAAACAACCTGTTTTTATAGTCTTAAAACACAACTTGACCGGCCTGGTTCGGTCCGGTTCTTGAAACACAACTTGTAGCAAGGCTTTCAAAATGGTATGTTACGAATATCCTCATTTGAACAACCATACATGTAGCTTGTTATGGTGGGGTATGTTGGTATCCATTTCTTTCACTATATACTAAATGCTCTAGTAATCCCTATCAGAAAATTGTTAGTTCCTATTCCATTTTTGTCATTTAAGAATAAACCCTCCTAAAAAATTAATTAACAACATAAAGTATGAAATTGGCAAAGAGAGTATGTTGCATCTAGGGATGGACCCGGGCGAGCTTTTTTTGCAAATCCTTGGGCCCGGAACTGACCCAGGTTGATACCGGGTCCGGGCATAACCGAGCCAAGCTCGATTAAATGTCTATTTTTTTTTTGCTTTCTTGTTATCCCCCGACCCCGACCCCCTCACCCCCACCCCCACCCCCCAAACCTCTCCAAAACAACACCCAGCCCTACCATAGGAAAAGAAAAAAATTGAAAAAACAAAAACAAAAAATTGACCCGGGCCCGGCCCGAACCGCCCGGGCCGGTTCGTCCAAACCTGGGCCCGAGCCCGGGCCGCCCGACCCACCCAAACGGGCTAAAAGCCCAGAACCGGCCAACCGGTCCCGGTCCGGGCCCGCACAGTAGCGGGCCGGGTCGGTTCCGGGCCGTGCTGGTTCAATCCATCACTAGTTGCATCTAATTTGGAATGGAGGATAGTATATCGCATGAAAAATAATTTGGAATATTTTCTAACTTTCTAAATTCAAGGTATCCAAATATATACAATTACCGTTTAGATAATTCTTGTTGTCTCCTAGAATAATAGATTTGGGTGACAAATATGCCCTCAGAATATGAAGCTAACACCACCGTTTTAGGTGAAGACAAAAATGTGTGTGAACGATGTATATTGATGCGGATTTTCAGCAGGAAAGTAAAGATGATGGCATTGAAACATTAACCGGCGAGCATATAAGCAGCTGAGAATAGGGCATCACGAGGAATATTGAAAATGCAGTCAAGGTCTTTCTACTATGCGGATGAAAATTCTTCAGCTTAGATAAAGGGATTAAACAGTTACGCTAACCTTTTTGGGATCTCCATCGTACTCCGAACTTATTATAACTTATTATGTTATGATGATAACGTTCTCTATAAGTTCAAAAAATAAAAAATGAAAGAAAAACAAAATTTCTCTCAACACACACCCAAGTCACAATAAATTACACACAGCGAGTCATTTGAAAGAAGCTACTTGACTCTTGTACTCCCTTGGCTCTCTAGACGAGTAATGACGTCTTTTCAACGTTTGCCAGCGGCTTTCCTGAAGGACGGAAAAGAATCCTCATCGTCGGACTCGACATCTCCATACTCCCACATACCACGCCTCTTTTGGCGTGCTTCACTTTGAGATTTTTCCAGCTCATCCAGAATAGGCTTCGGAATCCTCCGTTTCTCCATCCTAGCAAGACCCTCCTGCATAATTACCCCAATCCCATTAGCCGATTTCAACCTATGTTACTTAATTATAAGGTAGTGTTTGTGTTTGCTTGTCCATGAAACATGTGATTTACTTAATACTCCGTATATTACAGATAAAGTTTTAAAGGTTGTAGTGCTTGATATAAAAATTGAATTTTTTGGAGTATTATTTAGGCAAAATAACATGAGTATAGTGAAAAGCAATTTTACACACACCCTTCCCTCTACTTTCAGCTTTTGGTTGAAAGTTCTTAAAGCTGAGCAGAACATCACTATGTTTAGTTTTCTATCAACTATTTGAAAACCAATTCTACTCCAATGTTCGATTTGATAATATCACTTTTTTTAGTTTAAAAAAAAAACAGAAATGTTTTTTAAGCAACGGAAAACATTCTTTAGAGCATGCATGGTAAAACGACCCAAACCTTTAGCATAATGGAATTGATGCTGATCCCATCAGCTTCTGACTCGATTAGCGTGACCATAAGGACCGTCCCTGTTCCTTGCCCCTTGGATTTTCCTCCAGAAGTATCCTTCTCCTCGATCACGGCCCTAAATTCTTTATTGGAACTAAGAAGAAGCTCACTAAGTCGAAATGCAGCCTCTTGTCCATAATCATCCTCCAACCCTGGTACCTTGAGAAAGGCAAGATTACAAAGCTGAGCAGCACCTGGAGTAGATGACACTGACCCATCAATAGGGCGCATATTGCTATACGGAACGAATTCTTGATTCCCGTAATCAATGTAAAACACTTCAAACTCATCTTTTGGAGACTCAACGACACCTCGCGGAGCATTCACAATCTTAAGTCAAAAGATCAAGGAAAGATTAGAAGGGCATGATCAAAAGTGAGTTCAATAAAATGTCCCAAGTAAATGAATTATTATTACACATTCAAGGCATACTTTATTTAAGAGATAGGAACACACAACACATAGGGCCGCCCATCTGCGGTTTCCGATGAAACCGGAACAGCCATATTATGAAACGGAACAGGAACCAAAACCGCAAAGTGCCTTCGGTTCTCCCAGTCCGGTTCAGAACCATTTTTGTAATTAATTAATTATTCTTATTACTATTATAAATAAATACTAGTGTTAGTAGTTGTTGGTGTTGTTGTACTAATAATAAAAATAACAATTATAGTAATTCTTGGATATTACATATTAGTTATTACCAAGTATAATATTTTTTAATTCCAATTATTGGTAATAAGTATAAAGAATTTACTACTAAATTATTTTTAAATAATACAGTAACTTATAGATTTGAACAACCTAATTTATTACTCCGTACTACCTGGCTATATTAGCTATCTAAATATTTTACTTAGTTATAAAAATAATAACAATTATTTATACTAATAATTAATTAGGGACTCTTTTATTTAAATAATCTTATTAGTTTTACTCCATTTATTTTTTAAAGATTAACTAAACTTTTAATCTAAAAAACCCAAAGTTTGAACCGGACAGGAATCGGAACCGCCGGTCATTGAACCAGTACTATGTGGTTCCAGTTCCCCAGAACGGCAGTTAAGTTCCTGTCCCAGTTCAGAACTTTGGAGACCCCTAAACACATATATATACACATAATACATCCACGGTCCACCTACCCACATACTGATACTTACATGCATACAAATGCACATACATATGAATATATATGTATATGTATATCTACAACAACAACAACAACAACAACAACATCCAAGCCTTAGTCCCAAAAGATATTGGGGTCGGCTAACATGAATCGATACATGATATCACAACCAAAAGGAAAAGAAGGAATAAAGATAAAAAGATAAGCTATTATGAAAAGATAATATAAAAATGATAAAATAAAAAGGCTGCAAATAATGCATATATATATACAAGGATAAAAAAACAAAAAAAAACAAAAAAAAACAAAAAAAAAACCACTATTTGACACCTTGCCCACAGCAAAATTTTGCCTTGCCTTTTTTGTCAAAACAATTTTCTAACCGGACAGTTAACTTTTTTCTTAGTGTTAAGACAAACTTTTTCACCTTTGGGTGTCATGTTTTCTATATTTACAAAGTCATAGAAAAAGTTAAAAAACATGTCTAGATTTTTTATGACTTTGATTTCTTCTAAAACCTTTTGTAACCTTCACCATCAAGGTCTTGATGGAAACAGTCTCTCTCTACTCTTGGCTAACTTATATGTGGGATGTGCCGGGTATGTTTTGTTTGGTCAACAAACACAGCACAATCAGAACAAGATGTCAGAATATATTCTGGAACATATAGACAGTACAAATTAAAATTCTAGATGAAACACAGTCGAGAAGCTCTTGGTTTCAATGTCCCGATGATATCCAACTAGATATAGGATTGAATAGGAGGAATAATGGTATTGCAAGCATGCATACCATAGCACGGTTCCATGAATTATCAGCACTGAACTGTGCAAGCACTATGTCACCCCTCTTCGGATTAAAAGAGCCAATTACTGGTGCCTCTTGAAGATTTAAAGATGCAAGCTGCTTCTGGATAGATGTCACTTTCTGATCTACAGACTGTATATAGAATTTACCACCTCCCAGAACCTCGGTAACAACCACCTGAGATCATTAAATGCATGAAAAACTGACTAAACACTGTATATAAAAGATTCACAGTTTAAAATCGCCCGACTAAAATATACCTTCAACTCTTCTTTTTGTTTTCTCTCGGAAACAGGACCACTGGGAACCTCTTCTCCTTCGACATAGTTCGCCCATATCTGCATTAGTTGAAAACAGAGTAGATAAAATCTTTTTACCAAGTCCATGAGAAAGGAACATCAGCCAAAAGAAAGAGAAGAAAATATAACGCAGAACCAGTAACATACCTTCAGTTTCTGCGTTTTAGCAGACAGCTCAGCCTGAGCAAGAAGGTGAGCTTCTGGGATAGAGCCAAAAGTAGATAGTCTGGCCAAGCCAGCTTCAAGAAGCGCTACTGCACAATTTGTTCTCGACTCCCATAATGTGCCCAAGAAAGTTCCAGTTCTATCGACATTTTCTATTTCTATCTGCACGCGGAAGAATGAGCTGAAGCATTTGGGCAAACAGCAGAAATAAGCAAAGAGCTGAATCTCATTTTTCTTTTTCATTTACCCCAGTGCCGCAAAGGCTCCCACCTACGGTGGGGTAAGGGGGGTCGGATGTACGCAGTCTTACCCCTGTACTAAAGCACAGAGAGACTGTTTCCGGATGACCCATAGTGAAAATCCCGTCCAAAATTGCATGGACTGACTGCTGCTTCATAACAAAGAAGCGAAGACAGTTTAGTGAGTCATTTTGCTTTATTCCATCATAATCTCAAACCAAAAAATAATGAATCTTTGGCTCCATTGCAAATGATGGAAAGTAAGCAAAGAGCTGAATCTAATAAAGAGAAATTAAAGACTTACCTCAACGTCCCTCTGCATTATCTTCCGCCTCATAAGGGCAATGGCTTCATCGGAATAAGGTTCTCCACGACCGGGGCATCTAACACCGGATAAGGATAAAGCAATGCTGCATGTTTCCTTCGGAATGAACAGTTTAAATCGATGACCACTAAGAACATATTCAACGACAGCGGGCATCCTTCTATTCCTTTGCAGGAAAGGTAAGAAATCCCGGGCTTTCTTTACAGAAGCCTGAAATTTTTTAAATAAGAGTGGTTACTTATCTTTAAACAATCAACCCTGGAATAAAACCCCACATTTGAGCAAACTGGAATACTAACAGTTGTTAAGTCTGTTATGTGTACAGCTGGAGGTTGCTTGGTAGAGTGTATGCCCTTCTTTCCAGCAATAGCCCGTGATTCAGCAGAGAGAAGAGAATCATAACAGTATGATCTTTCCTCAAAATCACGATGCCTGATAACAGTTGCCAAGCCACGAACGACCAAGAGCTCAGCTAGATTCAACCCCATTTGGGGATTAGAAGCAGCAGCAGCAGCAGATGGAACAGGCGTAGCATCCTCTCCATCCTTGGACACTAAGAACACAGATCCAAAATCCATGACCCTTGAATCTGAACCATTAGCAGCAGGAGGAGCAGTACCATCTACCAGGTTGACCTTTCTGGAATACTCCATTGAAACATTCACCTGAAAAGAGCCAAGGATTAGCACTCACTAAAATCAGTTAATGCACGAAAAATATCAAGATGAGCAACCATACTTGTTTCCCAATCAAGCGTGTTCTCAAAAATTCCTTTGCTTCCCTAGCATAAGGGGCAGGTTTTTCATTTTTACGAGGATTCCCGATTTTGGGAGCCCTAATACTTGAGAGATTAACTCTTCTCTCAGCAGATGGATCTCCAAATGGCAACGCATCATCAGCTACAACAATGCAATCTCCACTTACAACCTCAATCACCTGGATGGAAGCAAAATCAAATGCAATGAAAATACTCATACATCATAAAACTGGAAGTTGAGAAAAGAACCACCAGACCACTGACATACCTTTCCTGTGAAATTCTGATCATGGATAGCCTTTGAATTTGTAGCAGGAGGTACGTAATTTGTCCAAATTCTTAAGCGACTTTTCTTAGCTTCAAGTTCTGCAGTTTTCAACTGTCTCTTAGCATCTTCTTCTAGCATGCTTGCACTCCATTCAACATATTTGGCCAAACCCTGGAGAGGGGAAATGCATCTCATTAGCGCCAAGTCACTCGCCAAAGGGAGTCTTCCAATGGTAAATCCGAAAAGGAAATTAAAACAGATAACAGCACTTAAGACATGATATTAGTTCCTTATAGCAAACAAGATTTAAATCCATATCTGAACACCAATGTTCATATGAATCCAATTCAAATTCAAGTTTAACTTGAATATGAATCCACCCTGAATCATATTCCCATAATGAATAGATACAGTTCATGAAATACTGATTTGTTCATTCACCTTTTAAGTCAGTAGTTTGAGATGAGATCAGAATATGGTCAAATGGTGTTAGTGTATTTAACTTTCAATGTTTAAAACAATAAAGGTTAGTACATACATGTTCCACGAGCTGCAAGCCGAGGTCCTTCAGTGATCCATCTTCATAATAGTGGACTGAGCCAATCAGATTGCTAAATTTATCAACACCCTCCAGAACAATTCTTACCTGTATAGTTAGCGGAATTTAGACAATTTTCAAATAGCAGCTCATCAAAATAATCCCAAATATTTATGACCTACATCTCTATTTAAAACACGAAGTTCCGTAAAATGCTTGGCTTCTCTTCCATACAGATCAGGTGCACCTTCAGTTATAGATGCCGTTGAAGCAGCAAGTCTCTGTGCTGATGTTAATTGTCCACTGGGCTCAGTAGATGAATCTCCATTTGCTTCACTTGAAGTAATCTCAGTTTCAATAGGAGTCTCAGCTGTTGCTCTTCTTCCCGTGGAAGGAGCCTGGTTAGTAGATGTTAAATTAAAACCAAAATGAAGGAGCATATATCAACATAAGAATAATAGGCCTTCAAAATATTAGCACAGCCATCCATACTACCTGAATTCCAGCAACATAAACTTGGACAAATTGGAAATCTGGAAGTAAATATACACGGAGTGTGCTTCCATCACGAATCTGCTCAACCACAGCTTTCATTGTCTTCCCTTTGTTTGCATCCAAGAGTCCCATTGCATCAAAGGTACTAGAATCACCAATGGCAGATGGAGGTAAATTCCTTATGGATGTCTCAGAAGCACCAGGCTCCTGAAACCAGTGGCACACCAATTAGACAGGACTCTGTAATATAATACCACTATTATGAAAATCAAGTAACCACACATTATATTATACCCAAAAAACAAGGTAAAAGCAACATGCAACATAAACCGAAGAAAAATTATCTTAGTTCGCCCTTCTTCGTAGAGGGGAAGGGGGCAGTAGAGAGGATATAAGGAAAAAGTTAATACTGGGACAAGATTTTTTTCTCAACCAATAAACCCAACCATGAAAATCCAACAACTGAACAACATGCCATGTGAGTCTATGCTAGTAGAAGGGTTAGGTTTAGAAAACTAAATTCTGACATGTTGCTCATTGTGTCATGTAGAAAAACAGAGAAAGTGCTGAGGGAAACTTGGAGGGGCCTTCATTTCTCGCCCCCCCCCCCCTATGGAGTACCACAAGCAACCACCTCACCTTGTCCTTGACTAATCCTGCTTTCCTGCTTACCCCTGCCCATTCCCGCTTCTGTATCCATGTTTACTGTTAGATTTGGGGCCATCCTCTTTAGTCCTTTACCTTACTTATAAACCTTTATGCTGCTAGATCTATCTTTTTCACTTCCTTCCACCATTTACGTTCTCCCATCTCTATAATGCTCCCCAGAAAAAACCTGCCCAGTTCTTTGTTTATTTGCATTCCTCCCTCCCGCAAGTGCATCACTAATTCTATATCCTACCATAGTTATTTCCTTATAAAAATTGGTGGCTGAAGGGGAGCCTTGTGGTGAGACCCTTCCCCGGACCGTCGGGCCTTGTGGGGATGCCAATGTGCACCGGGTTGCCTTTTTTTACAAAAGTTGGAGGTTGATCATTGTCATAGGTTCGTAGATTACATTAAGCTTGACTTTTTATGGTTTAAGAAAAAATACTCTGTGATAAAGTAAACATGAAAAGACATTGTAAGGTGAGTGCTAGAAAGGACTCAGTGATCACCCATAGGCCATAGGGGTGAAAAAATGAATTCAAAGATGCATTTTTTTTAAAAAATTTATAGAAAGAACTGTGTAGGCTTTAGAATCTTTCTACACAGAGTTGAAGGTATTTGTAGATACATTCACATGGCTCAAAGAACGATCCTGACCACTTACTATATCACTTCAAAAACCTGAAACTCACCCTAGTCCAGCGACCGAGACCTTGTTGTTTAGCCTGCTCTTCGAGGCGTAGTAATTCTTGTAAGAAGGGGCTAGCTTCTCCCTTCTGCTGACCCTGATCTCTTACCTGCATCCAACAGAATCAGGTCACGTGAGAAGAAAATGAATGAAAACAGATTCCAGGTCCAAAAACATGTAGTGTCATTTACCTTTGCCCAGCCTTCAGCAACAACCAACAACGCGACATTCTTATCTCCAAGGAAAACAGAGCCAAACTCTCGCCCTATGGATGGTACAGTGTAATCAACTTTGAACGTGACCTCCTAAACACCAGTTAGGACAGCATAAAAATTAAGATTTATGGAAGCAAAAAGATGATGCTAGAGCAGTAGATTCATATGCACCTTTCCAATGCAAAGATTCCTTAAAAACTCCCTGCTATCCCATGCAAATGGCTCATCCAAACCACCACGTCGTGCCTAGATGGAAATTACATTAGCAAAGAATATAAGAGGGGACCTATATAAATATATGTGTACAATATATTGTCTCTCCCCTCTGCCAATACAAGATTGTAAAAAGCATAGGGTTTTGTCAGACAAACTAACCTGCTTCATTTGTTAAAATGCAATCAACTAAAACTATGCATAACTGACGGAGACATTAGATACTCCATCCTAAAACACCCACTCAAAACAATATAATGTGCTTCATTTATTTAATGTTACATGGATCAATTTGACAACACCACTAATGATAAATCCTGTAATAATTTTATTCAGTACCATTTGCTTAAATCAAAGTCTGAAAATTTTCAAAATGATGAGAACAGAGTCTCACATTTATGTAAATTTTTTGTCAGGTTACCATCACAAGAACAGACAGCAAATCAAGAGTACACAAGAGTGATTACACACTTTTCTTAAATTATTTCTCATCTCTAGAGCGAGGGAGGCCAACGTAAAACAATAAAAAAACTACAGAACCCATAAAACTAGCTGAGATAGACTAATTCTAGCAAGACAATGCCATAGTTGAAGCAAATTGAAGTGTTGAAACAGTTTGCTTGAGATACAGTCACCATAGCTTAATAATTATAACATCAAAGAGAAGTGAATTGTTGAGAGCGTGAAAGTACCAATCTTGGTGCCATTAAAGAAGACAAAGTTATCGTCTTTTCCGGGGGTATTTCAGCCTTTGTACTTCCCATTATTACTAAACTGTCACCAGATGGAACAGCTTTCACTTTCCCCCTCAACCATCCTGTGGCTCCAGCTGTTGATGCCATTCCAACAGCCAAGGGTCTGCAGAAATAAGTTCACGCCAAAAACCAAGTAAGGCACCAAAAAGATTACTCGTAGAGAGATCATGATTTTATGCAAATCCAAAATGTAGATCACATGGCACATGCTAGGACACAAATTTCTGCACCGCAATAAAGAAATTATCAAATCATATTGTCAAAATAATGAGACGCTGGTGTTGCTGACTAACCACTTAGAAAAGAGGGCTAAAAGGCATTCTATATTATAACACTGAATGGCATCGAATTTGCAATAAAGAAATTATCAAATCATATTGTCAAAATAATGAGACGCTGGTGTTGCTGACTAACCACTTAGAAAAGAGGGCTAAAAGGCATTCTATATTATAACACTGAATGGCATCGAATTTGCAAAAAAGTACTACCTCCATCCCAAAAAACTTTGCCATTTTCAAAACTTTGACCGATTATATGTTTTTATTGAAAATTATTTGTAATATACAAATTATATGAAAATGTTCTTTGTTAAAAGTACTTTCATAAAAGTAAAAATTTTATAATTTCCATAATATTATACTAATCAAAATAAATGTTCAAATATTTTGAAATGGCAAAGTTTTTTGGGGCGGAGGTAGTAACATTTAAAGCAAACACACTCATAGAACTGCAAACCCCGTGATGAGACTGGCATGCATGCCTGCCTAATTTAATAGCAAGCGTTAAGCAGGTAAAACACAAATTTTGCGAAGCCTTTATAGCCAATAGAGATGAAGAAATACGTATATACATACATACATACATACATACATACATATATATATATATATATATATATATATATATATATATATATATATATATATATATTGGATAAAGCATTCTCTTTCAGATCCCAAAAGCAGAACTTTGAAATGCAGTCAGCAGATCCAAACAAAGAAAGCGAAAGAAATCCCAACAAATTTGAAACTTGATCTCGAAACTATCACTAGCTTCCTAAGTAACGAACAGCAGATCAGAACCTTCGTCACTCTAGGACCCCATAACCGCAGCTAAAAGATCGCAAAATCCGCAGCCATATATGGCCGATCAGACCAGGCCATCCAAACAGAGCAGCATCCACATTACCACGCAGCTCCAAACACCCGATGACGAGGAACAAGAAAAACTAAGTGGATAACGATGCATGCAGAGAAAACGCAGAAACCCACACAGACACAGAGATCTACAACGCGCGCATTGACGATCGGTCTAAAATCAAGCACAAACAACGGCAAAACACGAATCCAAAACTGAGCTCAATTGAGCCGAAAAAGACAGGTAAATGCTATAAAGACGTTTTGAATGGGGATCAGGGGAGAGTTACCTATACGAGCAGAGAGTTGCGGGTTAGATGGAGAGAGTTAGGAGCGAGGCGAAGGAGAAGGATGTGAGAGAGGCGACGAGCGTGTATTTATATGTATATATTTATAGGTAGAGAGAGAAAGAGAAAGAGGTTGGAGGGTAGGGGCGGAACAGAGACCCTTTTGCGGAAATTACCGGAAAGGCCATCGGTGTTTGTGTACTGTTACAATTGCGACTTTGAGATTTAATCCAACCCCATCTACCCGACGCCATTTAAATTAAATCTGTTTATCCTTTCTCCCTTGTTTTTACTGTTTTTAGGTTTTCATTTAATTTTCATTTAATTTGGTTACTTGCTTTCCTTCTTTGAGTCGTGTTCCGGTAAGACTTTTTTGCAAGTAAAAAACTCTATCTATTTTTGGGAGCGACAAGGACGGCGTGTTGCCACGACATTGATGTGCCACGTGGATGCTCTAGCCAATGAATTTAGACCATTTAGGATGCTTTAGCCATGTAAGATCATTATATCATATACTCCGGGCAATTTAGATATTTCAACCCAACTTTAACGGGGCTATTCTTTATCATTACGTAGTACTAGTATATTTTTATTTTTTATTTTTTTGATGGAATATATTATATATCTATCTGATGGAGTATATGGTTCAGGGATCCCCGATCCAGGTACTCCTTTTTCTCCTACACGGGCCCATCAACCCCAATGAGCCCAAATGTAGCGGCCCATGCATGAAGAAGCCCACGATGCACATTTGGATATCTTCGGCTCTGTGGCTGAAGGCTCCAAATTCTACAAAGACAACTTGATATTGGACCTACAAAGCTTCTGGGAATTTCTGGCTAGAATATTAGCCTTCGGCTATTCTGTGCCCTCGACAGTATGTAGCCCTCAGTTGTATGACACCTTCGGTTATATAATGCATTCGGCTATATGATGCCCTCGGCATATAGCAGACTCGACGAAGATTCCTTTTAGAGACAGGCAACCACCGCATTAAATGCGGCGTCACGTCCAACCACCGCATTTAATGCGGTGCATGTGCGATTGTCGGTGCCACCCCGATTGAGGTGATCCTCGGCCGTCAGATGTTTGACACGTGTTCCCGCCTAGCATTTATGGCTACTATAAATAGCGGCCGTTTTTTCTTGTAAACATATAACTTTCTATATTGAATACATATTCACTCTCTCTCTTACTTGCTCTGACCTCTCTCTAGGTTATTCCCCGCAATAACCCCTCGGATAAGCTACCCCGGGTACATTATTCATCATTTGGTGCTCTCGTTGAGAGACTCCGAACAATCAAGTAAGAAACCCTCCCCCTCACCGAACACAAAAATACATATCGAAATGGGAAGAGCCACTCGTGCCCAGTCCAAGACCCTTGAAGAAAAGAATCTGGGCCTCGGTGAAATCAACATCGCTGAAGCCTCAAACATAGCTCCCGAAGGCGGGGCCCTTGCTGAAATGGAGCAGGTCGCTGCTGACCTGCGCCTTCAGCTCCAGAAGAACGCTCCTGATGCCCGCCTCGATATCGAGACTCGGTGGAAGGACAGGAGCGAAAACCAAGTGAGCCCACTCGTCCTCACTATTGATGTGCAGTCGGCTTTTTCAGCCTTCATCCACACTCTCACTCATAATCCTGGCGCCTTTGGGGCACTTGTGCCGCCCTAGGCACAAGTTGGGGGAAACACCACCACTTTTCCACCACCCCCCCCCCCCCTCGTACGCCTGGTTCCAAGAACCGGAAACAATGAGGGGGTCGTGGCTCAGGACACGGCCTCCCAGGAAGTCCAGTCCTGGGACCAGCGCGGTGCGAACAAAGATAGGCCCCGGACATCCGCCCTCGAGAGGCTCGGAGGAGTGCAAGATCGCCGAGGGGTCCAAGACCCCCTCGGTGGTAAGGCATTCCAAAGACCTCAAGAGAGCGGAGGATCCGTCTCGAGGGCAGACGAGAGGCGTCTCCCCCCCCCCCCCCCCCGGACAAGGGCAAAGGGCTGCTCCATGCTGATGACGTCAGAAACCAAATCAACCAAGCTCACTCCGCTCCCGCACAATCGCAGGGGGCGGAGGCCCTCCCGAAGGACCCCAGGGATGAGATTATTGAGGCCCTCCAGCGCCGCCTCGACGAGATGGAGGCCCGTCAAGCCCAAACGACGGCTTCCGCTTCACATGCGGACCCCAAATACGCCACCATGCTGGCCAAGGTGGACGAGATGCAGAGGAAACTAGCCGAGGGCTTCGGGGAACCTGTCATCTAACTTCGCACGAAGACGCCTTTCACCCCGAGGGTATTGGCAGCTCAGATCCCTAGTAAGTATCAGGGACAACCCATAAAGCCTTATGAGGGGAAGACGGATCCCCAGGAACACTATAGCAGGTACCAAAACAACATGATGATGATGCGGGCGTCGGACGAATATTTGTGTCGTTGGTTCCTTTCCACCTTGGAAGGACCGACGTACGAATGGTTCAACCGACTGCCCGAGGGAAGCATTGACTCATGGCAAGAACTCGTCCAATGTTTCTTGACACAATTTGCGGGAAGGCATCGGTCAAGGAAACACTTCTCCCACTTACTGACGGTAAGGCAACGGAAGGAGGAAACCCTCTGGGATTTCTTGGAACGCTGGAGGCTGGAGACGGATAAGGTCGACAACGCCGACGACGGTACCCTTATTGTGACACTCCACCCAGTCTGACCCCGCCGACCCGGGCGGCGCGTCAATTGGAGGAAAAAAAATAGAAATTGTTTTTAAAACTATTGTTAGTAATTCAAGAAAGTCAGCCATTTTTTTTCACTTGACACATTTAATTATAATAAGAGAATTTAGTACTTAAAATAAAGCATATTAATTCCAAAATAACTTCATTATTTAATACCCGAAAATGTCAAACTCACCATGGAGTAGAATGTTATTAAAATAGACATAACATAGTGATAAGTCCGTATTTAGACACGCATTTGATGCGTGTTCAGGTTGGATTTTGATGGTTTTCCTAGCTTTAAGGTGTTGCAAGTCTCAATTTTAGCTCAAGTTGTGATTACCAGGTATTGAGTCAAGTTTTGTTGCATTTGGAGTCAAATTGAAGAAGTTAGAGTCCGGCAATCGGCGCTTGAGAGACAATCGGGAGGAGCTAGAGAGCAATCAAGAAAGATTTGAGATATTTGGATGAAGTTTTGATGAAGTAAAAGCATTTGGATTGACCCCGTTTGCATGCGGGAGCGTTGGGGCAAGAAAACAAGAAAAAGGAGAAAAAAAGTGGACGCACGGTCGTGCGTCTGGTACGCACGATCGTGCGTCGGATACGAAAACACAAAGAACTCTCTGCCTGCTACGCACGATCGTGCGTAGTCAGGTACGCACGATCGTGCGTAGCCCCGAGTCACGCGCGGTCGTTTCCCACATCGACCAGAATTCTGATTTTTCTTCTCTTTTCTATAAATAAGGCCTCTCTAACCCTTTTTAGGGGTGATGAACATTACGGAGAGGCCTAGGGACGAAATTAACACCGTTTTTATGCTATTTTCTTCCAAGATCCTGGGATTATTTGTAAGATCATCTTTTTAATTAATGACAATTTATTCTATTCTTCCCAATTCTGTTGATTCTTCAATTATGAATTGTGAGTAGTTTAATTAGGGATTTGGGATTGATGAAGGGGTTAATCACGATGTATGATTAGGTTCTTGATGGTGTAAATTGCATGAATGCCGTTTAATTTGTGTTTGAATAATTTAATTGATATCTTTTGTAACCTAGATGGCCACTAGAATTACAATCGCATGTAGAATGAATTAAGAGAGATCTAATTTGTTCTAGGACACATTCACACACACTTAATCGTTCGCTAAGAGATTAGTAGCGATTAAGGGGCCGTAAGCTCGTCCGTCTTGGCAATAATTTAGGATCCTGTCGCATGAGAGATCAGCCTGGTCCCCTAAATTATTGTACTCTACGCCGTGAGAGCGGTAAGAACTTAGTATTGATTAGCTAGGCTCAATTAAATTAAATTAATGTAATTAAGCCTGATCTGCCAGAAATCTGATTACCCCGGAATCAATCCCTGTTCCCTTCGTCGTTAATTAAGAAGAACCCAATTATTTACTTTTAGTCATTTATTTGCAATTTTAGTTTTCTCAAGCAACCAAATCTCGCATGACCGCATTTGTTTTGTTTATTCTTTATCGCTAATTTTTAGTTAATTCTTAATTCCCTTTTACCGTCCCTGTGGAGACGATACTCGTACTTTCACCGCTATATTACGATCTTTTTAAGTGCGAGAAAACTCACATCAATTTTTGGCGCTGTTGCCGGGGACGGTGTCGGTCTTAAGGGTTAATTTTACTCAGCGATTCGTTTTTAGTTTTCGTAGGATTTTTTTCTGCTGACCTTGCAGGTCAGATCTGTTTATGCATACACGCTCCAAGAGGGGAGAACCATTAATCCCTCTTAATCTAGAGATTGAAAAGCTCGCCAGACAGAACCGCAAGGCTCAAAAAGAGAAATTTACCATGGACCATCAATATTCATCTGGAAACATAGGGTCATCTAGTAACCCTAACCCTACTACTCAGCCAGATTTCTATCATAACACATCACCCCAATCTTCACCACCAATTTCACCTAGAAACCCTCCAGGTTTTCAAAATTACCGCACTCCGATTTTTTCCCAAAATCAGCCTTCACCACAATTTAATATCCCTCCATTATTTCACCTCTTTCAAAATACCCCTACTGCTCCTGAAACCAATTTTCAAAATCAAGTTTATGGAATGCAAGGAGCAGGGCAGAGTATTCCCGTTTTCCAACCGAGACAGAACCCACCTCCAATCAATCAACCTACATTCCAAAATCAGACCCAGTACCAAAACCCATACCCCAATCAATTTCAAAACCACACTCAAGTCCCACCTACTTAGCCACAACCAGTCCCTCAACCTAGACATCAGGAGCCTCCACCCAATCCCTATATACCGCACAATAATCCACTCTATCAGCGCCAAACCATTGCAGAGTTCCTTACACCAAACGTTTCGGAGTACGATAGTATTCAAGTACCGGGAATTACTGCCAACCGTTACGAGATCAAGCCGGCGGTGATAAGCATGGTATCTAATAATCAATTTGGAGGAGGCCCTACTGAAGACCCAGTGG